CGCCGCCACAATCACGGCCGGTGAGCTCCACCTTCCCGCCAGCCCCGCCCTCCCTGGCTCTTTCCCTCCGCCCCTGCAGGGACTCCATCATCGTCTGCTGCATCAACTCCTGCACCAGCATGTTCGCAGGCTTCGTCATCTTCTCCATCGTGGGCTTCATGGCCCATGTCACCAAGAGGTCCATTGCTGATGTGGCGGCTTCAGGTCCGCGCGGCCCCCGTGGGGTCCCGGTTCCTGGGGCGGGAGGGGCTCACGGCGCTGGCGAGTACAGCCGTCATCACCACCTCCCCCCCGTGGTCCGCTGGCACTGAGCGCTCCCCACCCCGCCCACGTGCCAGGCAACGCGCTCAGCAATTTGCATGAACTGTGTATCCTTCCATCCTCCCAACATGTGATGCAGCCTGTTGTTACCCCATTTCATAGGTGAGGAAGCAGGCTCAATAAAGTTACCTGCCTACGGTCATGGAGCTAGAAAGGCAGTGGGTCTGAAGTTTGAGTCCAGAACTGGCTGCCTCCAAAGCCTGGGCCCTTGGTTTCCTGGTCATACAGGCATGTCCAGCACAATCCTGGACTTTCAGAGAGAGAAGACCCATTCTTGGCCTGTGGAGTATAAACTCTGGTCCAACTGGGACATATTCACCACCACACTACAAAGCCTCCTAAGTCTGTGCTTTTATCTCAGCTCCAAAAATGTTCTCACCAAGTGAGCCGTGCCCACCCTGCTCACCACATGGTCATCAATGCCACAGGGCAGGGAAAGCCCCCGGCAACCCTTTCCTGCTCAGTCAGGTGGGTAGCCAGTGGGAGGGGCCCACCATGTGCACGAGGCCCTGAGGCTCAGCGAAGTGGCATGTCTCATGCCTTGGAGCATTGGGTCCATCGCGTGGGAAGGACCATTCTCTGCTGAGGTTCTCACCTCCCCTCTAGAGTGCCCCCCATCTCATTTCTCGGGAACTCCCCAGCCACCCCCCACCCATCCAAAGCCAGGCCCAGGGAAGTTACAGTCTCTTTCCATCTCATACCAAGGTTTTCTGACCTCTTGGACACACCACCAGACACTCAAACACAGCATGCCCCAAGCAGGGCGCCCCAAACCTTCTCCTCCTCTGTGTGCCCAATCGCAGGAAGGCTTCCGTCATCCGGTGCCCAGGCCAGAGCCCTGGGCATTGCCCCAGATTCTTCCCTCATCCTCACCTGCAAGCCAGCCAGAACCAGGACTTGCTCCTGCAGCCTTCTGAGTATCTCTCCATCTGGCCACCTCCCAGCACCCGCACTGTCCCTACCACTGGCCAGGCACGGAAGTCTCTCATCCGGACACAGACAACAGCCATAGCGTCTCCTCGATCCTCTTGCCTCTGGCCCTAATCCCTACGGCCCCTTGTCCCCTCCCTGTTTCCTCATCTGGAGAAAGGGAGTGACAACACTCACTCAAAAGGTCACTCTGCACCAATAAGGGAGGAGGTGGGGGGTTCAGGGTTCAGAAATTGCCAGTCAGGTACAATGTCCACTACCTGGGGAATGGGCCACCTGAGACCCAATCCCTACCACCACACAATGTGTCTATGTAATGAACATGTATGTGTACCCCCTGAATCTAAAATAAAAATGGAAAAAGGACAGCTTTGGGAAAATACAAAATAAGATAAAAATGTAGCAATAATTTTAAAGATTATTTGTAAGGTCACTTTGAAGATGAAAAGGCGGGGGGAGCATGGAAGGCAGGTGGTGGCTGCGTACACTGTGGTGCTCAGTGCCTTTTTTTCCTCCTCTCTTGCCCTTCCCTCCATAGGCCCCGGGCTGGCGTTCCTGGCATACCCAGAGGCCGTGACCCAGCTGCCCATCTCTCCTCTCTGGGCCATCCTCTTCTTCTCAATGCTGCTGATGTTGGGCATTGACAGCCAGGTGAGGGTCTTCTCCCACACCTTGAGGACCAACCCCCTTCCCCCAGGCTCCTCAGTCCAGGAGAAAGTGAGAAAAGGAGGCTACTCTTAGGATCCCAAGAGTATGACCGAGAATTTCAGACCCCAGAATGTTCCACTGCATGACACTTTAGAAAACAGCCCAGCCAAATTCTCCATTATCTAGAAGGGGAAACTGAGGCCCAGGGGGAAGGGACTCTCCTGAGGTCACAGAGTGAGTCAGTGGCAGAATCAGGCTGGACCCTGGGTCTCTCCTGGCCCTGCTGGCCCGATGCTGCTGGGCCTCCTACCTCCTCTCAGAGGACCAGGCTTCGGGTGGGTCTGGGCTGGGGGTGGCTGCAGGTGGCTGACCTCTGTTCCTGCCTGAAGTTCTGCACCGTGGAGGGTTTCATCACGGCCCTGGTGGATGAGTACCCCAGGCTACTCCGCAACCGCAGGGAGCTCTTCATTGCTGCTGTCTGTATCGTCTCCTACCTGATCGGCCTCTCCAACATCACCCAGGTGGGCTCAGCCAGCATCCGGCACACCTCCGGCACTGCCCCAGGGTCACTCCTGGGGCCTCATTTGCCTTTTCCCAGCCCTGTTGTATCCCGCCTTGCATCTCTTCATTGACCACCATCTCTGATGCCTGGCACACAGCCGTGAGTCAGACAGGGGCATCTGGGTTGGTGGGAGACGCAGATCTTGAGCTAGGAGGTGTAGGACAGAGCTAGAGAATGCGGCACCTAACCTGCCCTGGGGCACCCAGGACTGCCTCCGGAGGAGGGGATGCCTGAGCTGAGCTTTGTGAAAGGCTCACAGAGCCGGCTCGGTGGCTCAGCCTGTAATCCCGCGCCTGGGGGGGGCTGAGGTGAGTGGATTGCCTGAGCCCGCGGGTTCGAGACCCGCCTGGGCAGCGAGACCTCATCTCTACAATAAATCAAAAAATTAGCCAGGCGTGGTAGTGCACGCCTGTAGTTCCAGCTACTTGGAAGGCTGAGGCAGAAGGATCGCCGGAGGCCAGCAGGTCGAGGCTGCGGTGGCCGGGAGCGGCCATGCGCTCTAGTCTGGGCAACAGAGTGAGACTCCATCTCAAAAAAAAAAAAAAAGAAAGGCTCACAGGAGTCAACCAGGGATCCACGTTGGGGCCAGGCCTTTGTAGGGGACACTGCCCAAAGCTTGCTTTCATCCCCGCTTTTCTTTTTGTGTTGACATGGATGAGGAGTGCTCTCTGCGTGCCAGACCTCCTGAGTCTAGTCAGAAGACATGCACATACCTGAGGAGTTGTACAATCAGTATAAAGCACTCTAAAGATGTGAGCTCAGCCCTGATTAATGATCCACAAAACCGCTCCTGCAGCCAAAGGCAGTTCTGGTCCAGAGTTAATGTTCATTCCTTTCTTCACTCTCAGTTGTTGAACATCGACTCTGGGCCTGGCATGACCCTGGAAATGCTGCAGTTCATGTGACGGACACGACTGTGTCTGCTTTCTTGGAGCTTGCATTTTGAAGGACAAGACTGACATATAAATCAGATGATTCTGGAGTGTTAAGTACCACAAAGAAAAGAGGAGAGTAGGATAGAGAATGGACTGTGGGGTCAGGTGGGGGCGGGGAGAACACTTCCACAGATGAGGACGGTCTCTCTGAGGAAATGACATTTGAGACTTAAATGAGAGGAAGAGCCAGCCAGAGGAAGAAAGCACAGCAGGTGCAAAGGGCCTGAGGTAGGAATGGGCTGGAAGGTTTGAGGACCAGAAAAGAGGCCAGTGTGGCAGAGGCAGAGAGAGTAAAGGGGGTGGGGGTGAAGGACCAGAGCGTGCAGGAACTTGCAGGCCAAGACATCGGATTGGATTGGATGGGACTGGATATTTTTGCCGATTCACATGTTCTATTTATTGTCTCACGTACGCCGTGGAAGGTTTTAAGCGGGGAAGAGACAGGCCTAGCGCGCAACATGGAAAGGTGGCCCTGGTGGCCAGCTCCTCTTTCTGCCCTCCTGCCTTGCCAGAAATGGGAGTGTCCCTCTACCACCCGGACATTTTCTTCCCAACTCCCAGTGTCAGCATTCAGGCCCTCTCCTGGTCAGAAGGCCCTCAGTGCTTCCTCTAATCTACCCTTACGCCAAAGCCCATGTTGTCTGTGAACAGAATGCACCGGGCATGGGGGGCGGTGGCCGGTCCTCACCTCTTTTCCTCTTGCAGGGGGGCATCTACGTCTTCAAACTTTTCGACTACTACTCCGCCAGTGGCATGAGCCTGCTCTTCCTCGTGTTCTTCGAGTGCGTCTCTATCTCCTGGTTTTACGGTGAGCTCTGCCCCCTCCTCCCTTGGCCATTTGTCCTTTCACTCCTTGCCTCATTGATCATTCATCAAATACAACGTGGACACGGGCCCCGCCCTACATTAATTTATTTATTCTTCACAACACAATTCAACAAGCTTAGCACAGGAGGTCCCCACCTTTAGAAGATATAAGAACAGTTAAATGAATTTTTCAAAAAGATTAGCAGAACATAAAACAGGAAAAAAAAACCTTAAATAAATTCATTTAAAATGGGAGCCGACATTTTTTTCATCACTTTCAGTATACACCGTTTTTTTGAGATTTTTATCTAAGAAAGAAAAATTAAAACTATATTAAAAAGTATTAAAGTTACATATTCAACAGAGGCTAGGCTGTAAGGAAAAGTGTACTCTGCCTTAGAACAAATAACAAAGGAAACATTGATTTTATTTGTTTATTTTGTGGCCTATGTCTCTCAAGCCAACTGCATGACAGTCAAAAAGGATGTCCTTCCCTGCACGTTGGATTGTCACAGCAGAGTAAATTTTTTGAAAGCAACAGGACACTCTGTGTATCGTCTTTGCAGTGTTTGCCACCTCACCCCTCTTGTCATCGTCCCTTCTTCTTATTTACATTTGTGTAAATGTAAGTGCAGTTTTGTAGTTGGGCATATTCCAGAGTGGTGAAGTTTGGGCTTTAAGCGTAAAGTTCACCTGGAGAGTGAAAACTGCACCCGCTAAGCGATTTCTCCTCACCCACCCCCTGCCATCCTCCCGAGTCTCCAGTGTCTGCCATCTACATTCTGTGTTCACGTGTACCCATTGTGTATCTCCCACTTGTAAGTGAGAATGTGTGGGATTTTTCTCTCTGAGTTGTTTCACTTACGGTAATGATCTTCAGTTCCATCCATGTTACTGCAAAAGACATGGTTTCATTCTTTTTTATGGATATATAATACTTTATCATGTATCTATGCCACATTTTCTTTATCCAGTCATCCGCTGATGAACACTTAGGTTGACTCATATCTCTGCTGTTGTAAATAGTGCTGTAATGAGCGTATGAGTACAGACACCTTTTTGATATAATGATTTCTTTTCCTTTGGGTAGATACCCAATAGTGGGATTGCTGGATCCAATAATAGTTCTATTTTTTGTTCTTTGAGAACTCTCCATCCTGTTTTCCATAGAGGGGGTACTAATTTACACCCCCACCAACACCTTCTCTCAATGACTGTTCTAACACAGTCGGAGCCAAACCCGTCAGTGATTTGCCTGTCGAGCAGTGCCCACCCCGACTCTGGCGAACTTTAATACACCCAGTGAGTTTGGAGGGGTTTTTGTGTGAGAGATTTGCAGTTCTTCTTTGCAACCGATCGCCAGTTTCTCATAGCATGAGACCATCAGGGAACACGGCCCCTGCCCAGCAAAGCCTTTGAAGGAATGGCTGGGATCGATGTTGAGTTGAGTGGGAGGGACATCGAGAGTGGGAAGACATGTTTTGTAAGTTTCTTTTTGTTGGTAGACATTCTCCCATGAGGTGACTTGCTTTCCTGTACACTTGCTGTGGACACTGGACTACTGAAAAATACTGAGAAAACGAGGCTCCCCACCCCCCGGGGCATTAGCCCCATGGTGCAGACGAGGAAACAGGCTCAGGGGGCTTGGGTGGCTTGTCCATGGTCACACTGGAAGTGGCAGGACCAGGCTTTGCACCTGCAGTCCCCACAGCTCATCCATCCTCTGGCTCTTGCTCCCAATGTCACAGGTGTCAACCGATTCTACGACAATATCCAGGAGATGGTTGGCTCCAGGCCCTGCATCTGGTGGAAGCTCTGCTGGTCTTTCTTCACCCCAATCATCGTGGCGGTAAGAACAAGGCTTGACCAGCCCCACTAGGATGAGGCTAGACCAGGCCCTAGGGCAACACAGGTCTGGGGAGAAACTTCCGGAGGCAAAAGTGGGTGGAAGAGGTGCCCAGAAACCCTATTCCTTAATAATACTTCTCCTTGCAACTTGTTGAGCATCTGCTCTGCACCCTGCCTGAGACCAGACCCATTACATCTTCCTCGCAGACTTCAACCAAGCAGGGGTTATTGTCCCACTTAGCACTGAAGGATCTGGGGCTCACCCAGCTAGCGAGTGCTGGGATTTGAACCAGGCCGGCCAGAATCTGAAGCCCAGGCTCTTGGCCCTTGGAGGCCTCTTGTTCTCAGCGTCTCTCATTTCTCTCATCCCACCAGGGGGAGCTGAGACCAGAGTGGGCCTGGAAGTGGGGGCCTGGGCCACTGTATATGTTGCGTCCTTTACAAGGACACCCCAGCGATGGCAGGCTGGAGCTGGCATCCATCCCTTGTTCTGCCCCCAAGCTAGTCATTCTGGGGGAAGGGGTGCCTTCCTCTAGTTGGTCCCCCTAAAGGGGTGCCTTTCCTGCTGATCTTCTCAGAGAGGGTGCCTTTTCCTGTTATGCACAAGGCACCTTGCGTGCTGGCAGCAGCCTTGGGTGCAGAATTCCCAGGAGGCTGGGCTGTGCAGGGATCAGCCTCCAGGCAGAGGCCAGAGGCAGAGGGCCAGAGGCTTCAAGGTGGTCCGGTGGGAGTGACTGACTGCTCCCCCTCCATCCCCTCTCCTCTACCCTCCCCAGGGTGTGTTCATCTTCAGTGCTGTGCAGATGACACCTCTCACCATGGGAAGCTACGTTTTCCCCAAGTGGGGCCAGGGTGTGGGCTGGCTCATGGCTCTGTCTTCCATGGTCCTCATCCCAGGGTACATGGCCTACATGTTTCTCACCTTAAAGGGCTCCCTGAAGCAGGTAAGCCTTTCTCCACCCCTCAGCTTGCTAGACCCCTTCCCCCTGCTGCACTGAGCACAGCCCCACCCGCTGTGGAGCTCACAGTCTAGTTGGGGAGACAGACGCGTCAACAGCCAATGACAATAGAGTGTTAGGGCCACCGCAACTGGACAAACCAGGGAGGTGAGGGCAGATAGCCCTGCCTGGGTTAAGGAGGATTAGGAAAGGCTTCCTGGAAGAGGTGATAGCTAAGGAGAGGCCTGAGGGTAAGCCAGACTTAAAGGTAGAAGCAGAAAGAATGGTCCTAGAAGAGGGGAGGAGAGGATGAGAAGCATATGCAGAGGTCCAGGGGTATAAACTGCATTTGGTGAACTGAAGGGAGATCAGTGTGGCTGGAAGGTAGAGTGGGAAGGGGCGGGCGGTATGATAAGAGATGAGGTTGGGGATATAAGAAGGTCCAGCCAGGCGTGGTAGCTCACATCTGTAATCCCAGCACTTTGAGAAGCCAAGGTGAGAGGATCACCTAAGCCCAGGAGTTGAGGCTGCAGTGAGTCTGGGCAACAGAATGAAACCCTGACTTAAAAAAAAAAAAAAGAAGTCCAGCCAGAGCATAAAAGGCTTTGAAAATCAGGGCAAGAACTTTGAACTTCATCCTGGAGGCACTGGAGAGTCTTCAAGGGCGGGAACGGAGTGGGATCAGATGTGTTGAGGGCTTACTCTAGATCTCACTTGTGGGCTTGATATAGAGAAAATGTGGTCTTATGCGCAAGGCGAGACAAAGCATGAAAGGCGTGCTGCCCCCAGTAGCGGCCTCTTCATCGCACACAGTGCCAGGTCCATGCCAGCGCTTTATTCAGTTGCACTGAATTCTTGAGGGAAGCAAGGCACCTGATACAAGACCTGAGGAGGCAGAGCATGAGCTGTGTGAAAGGAAGTCTGTGCCAGAGGGTGCAGCAAGTGCAAAGGCCCTGGGGCAGAAGCACACCTGGTGCCTTTGAGGGGCAGAGAGGAGTCCGGTGTGGCTGGGGTGGACAGGTGAGTGGGGAGATGAGGGGACACTGAGGTCTGAGAGGTGACAGGCCAGACTGTGGAAGGCCTTGTGGGACTCTGGATTTCCTCTTGGTGAAATGGGAGCTCTTGCTGGGTCCTGTCTCTCCCACTGTGCTGCGCTGAGAAGGGAGCAGAGGGCTGATGGGCAAGAACGGAAGGTGAGGGCCAGTTAGGAGCTACTGCAATGACCCAAGTGTGGGGGCCATAGTGCGGCTGTGGGGGAGGAGGGGCAGTGGAGGGACGGCGCATTGCCTGGATGTGGCTGGAGTCTGCACGGAGCTCGGAGGCAGAGCAGACAGGACAGACTTCAAGGGTGGGAGGAGGGAGCGGCCTGGCCTCGCCATCCCAGCCCGAATTCCCCCCGGAGAGCCTCACGCCCTCCCCGGTGCCCACAGCGCATCCAGGTCATGATCCAGCCCAGTGAGGACATCGTGCGCCCAGAGAACGGTCCAGAGCAGCCCCAGGCCGGCAGCTCTGCCAGCAAGGAGGCCTACATCTAGGCGTGGGGGCCGCTCGCCGACCCGACGCTCTCGCCCCCCGACCTGGCTGACGCGACCGCCACTTGATGTCTGAAGATACCTTCTATCTCAACCTACCTCGAGTGGCGAGTCCAGACACCATCACCACGCAGAGAGAGGGGAGGTGGGAGGACAGTTGACCCCCTGGGTGGGCCCTGCCGTGGGCAAGGATCCCCGGTGGCTTCCGGCACCCGGGGGCTGGTGACCTTTATAACCCGGGCCCCATCAGCGTCCCGCAGTGGGCGTTTGTAGCTGCCACGGCAGATCATTTTTCTCCCGCCAGCGAGCGTCACAGCGCGGCCACACGCATCCTGGCTTTTAGTCGTGTTCCTGACTGTTCTCTTACTGCCGAAACCCATGACTGTTATCTCGGACTTTGCCGGAGCTCCCTTCCCCCGGGGGGCAGCTCTGTGCATGGGAAAGAGCCCTTTGTAAGTGGGGATCTCCAGGGAGAGCTCCCTCTGAAGTGGCAGGGAGCCAGGACCTCTGCCTTCCTGTTCTGGTCTCTCCTTCCCGAGGCAGCTGGACAAAACCACCCCCAGGACCTCAGTCCGTTCCCGGAGCTGCGTCGCATGCAGCCTGCGGAATATCCCTTCCCTGCTGCCCCAGCGAGCGAGCACACCTGCAGCCCAGTGTCCCTGTCCCTCCTGACCAGGCCGTCCTGACTGCACCTGGCCCCGTGCGTCCGTCCAGACAGGCCCCACTTGCTGGAAAACTGCCACAAGCACAAATGATTTCTTTTCCTCGCCATTCCAGGACCTCGGGGCCCACAGGGAGGAGCCCTCATTGGGGGCTCCCATCTCTCTTAAGCTGCCCAGTTTTACAGAGTCTAGAGTAGTTGTAGAGGAAATCAAGGTGAAGGATCTGTCTGAGTCGAGACGAACACAGCTAGCTTTGGGGTTCCCTCCTCAAAGACTACCCTCACTGCCACCCTTCCAGGCTGCTGCCTCCTCGCCTCCCTGGAATTCCTCAGCAGGGGTCTCCTGGTGTTCTTCCAGAGACACCCGCCCCCAACAATGTGCTTCCGAGATTAAAACTGCTTCATTGGGAAGTGTTATTTGTTCCTTTCTGGAATTGGGCTCCGTGGAGGTGATGGCAAATCGGGCGAGCCCAGTTTCCTGCAAGCTCCAGGAACTGAGTGTTCCTCCTTTGCCAGGAAGATGGGTTCCCGTGTAACAAACCAGATGTTGTGCCCTGTAGCTCCTTAGCTAGTTAGCTCACAAACTGTGTTTTATGGCTAATCCTTAATAACTATGGTAAATAACTGTGACTGTGGGTTTTTTGATCTCTTGTCATTCTCATCCGGAAGTGACCAGCATACCAGTTCTTGCAATAAGATATTACCCTCAGAATATTAAGCACATTATTGTAGAGAAAAAAAATACGTGTAGACATATAAATGCACACACGTGCACTTTCATCCTCATGCGTGGCGCGTAGGGTCTCATTTGATATTGTGTAGAAAATCTAAAGCCTTTTCCAGAGGTCATCTGTAAAATAGTCTCATTGCTAAGGCATCCCAAATGCCAAGAATGAATCCATGATCAAATTACATACGTGTGGTTAAGTCATAGGGTTTAGAATGGCAGGAACCCATCACTGTGTCCCATGGTCCCATCTCCCCTTCTGTGTGTGAATTCCTCTAGAGTAAAAGCAGAAAGATTTCTAACTTTCTCTTTGTTCTTCAGTGTGAAACTGAGACCAAGTCTTTCTAAGACAAATGCAGTGTATTTCATGTTCGTAAGCAATTCTAAGTGAGATGTTTGGCAAGAAATCCCCTAACCGATTTCCATCCAAACCTACCTTATAGAGCACAATATTAAGTGTCGTACAATTACTGTGAGAACTGTGAATATGTGTAACTTTTTTTTTTTAGTATTTGCCCGGGGGAGGGGAAAGATATTGTATTATCATATATGCTTTTTTTTGCAATAAGGATTTATTCTCAGAACACCAAGTAAATCTCTATATAAAAAAATATATGTAATATATACATATTCAAACTATATACAGAGCCTGTTTTAAAAAAATTACAGTATTATTTAGTAAAATTATCTGTTCTATGGACCAAATGTAAAATATTTATAAATGAAGATGCATTTTAAATGTCTATAAATGGTGTCATAACCAGAGCACGGGCGTTATGTAAGTTTCTAAGAATTTAGAGGAAAAATAATAAAGGTTCTATAATATATAATATCAGACCTTCAGTTCTTTGGGGCGGGGGCACAGTAGACTCTTCTTTCATCAGAACAACAACACATATACACAAAATTCTTTTTCCCCCTGCACAGAGAGATTTGGGCTCAAAATCCAGGGATTGATCAAAGGAACAAGATCTAAGACCTTTGGTGGGAAGTAAGGGTCTTAAGGGAGGACTTGGGGATCAGAGCATAAGGGAAGAGGTGCATGCCACTCACCAGATCCCTGTCTCTCCCTGTTGCCCCTCTTGCGGGGAGCCTTAGAGATACCCCATGAGCATAGGACTCCAGAAACCACAGTGTGTGGGAACAGCAAGATGCCAAGCCAGCCTCTTAGTAAGCGTGTTATGTCTACAGTGGAGTAATGGGACCTTGGAGAACCCTGACAGGCCATGTTCTCCGTTTGCACCAAGAACTTGCTTCGAACGCACAAAGGTATTCTGCGCCTGGGGCCCTGTCACATCCTTTCTTATGGAAGTTACTTACACGGAAAATGATGCCATAGAAGAGAAAGGAGAGACAGGCAGCCCAGACGTACTTCTCCACAAGGTAGCTAGCGCTGGCAGAATGCGAGCATATCCATACGTGAGATAAATTTAACCAAGCACAGGTTTCCACAGCTCTAGTAAGAATGAATTGTGTGCACAAGCTGTGAAACATACATCGTGTCATTTCACATGCAAGCCAAATGTGCTTCCATTTGCATGTGCATACTCTAACGATGAACAGTAACTTTATGCTAATAATTTAAAATTTCCTTTATTTAGAACAATATAAATAGCACATTAAGAAACCCCATGACCAACCGAGAGAGAGAGAGAGAGACAGAGAGAGAGAGAGAGAAAGAGAGACAGACCATGGAAGGAAGAAAAAGCTGTATATGTTAGCACCTTGAGCAGCACATTTTTCTTGCTTTTAGACAAGATGCCCTGTATTCTCCATTTGCACTGGGCCCTGCATGTTATGCAGCCAGCCCTGGGGAAAGTCTAGGGAAGGCTTTGCCTCTGCATTGCTAGCACCTCTGGATGTCTGGTGGGCGACTGACCCGCTGGTAGCCAGCAGGGCACGGAACAGGGGCCGCTCTCTTATCTCTGCGAGCATATGTCTCTCACAGCATCAGATCTTGAAGCTCTGATTAAAGTCATGCCTGCTGCTTCACCTTTGTATTCAAAGCCTGGGCAAATGTTGCTTTCGGCCACCTCTAACCTAGAGCCACACGGAGAATAGGATTCTAGGAAACGTTTTGGCCTAACCAAATGAACAGTCAAATACACACTCCTGTCTCTCTGTTTTTGTGTGTCTTGGTCTTTCTCTCTTTCCTTCCCTCTCTTTCTTTCCTTCTCTCTCTGTGCATATGTGTGTGTCTATCTCTCCCTCACACACACATGTCCAAAGAAGATTATTATTGTTGTTTCGTTGAGCCATTTTAAGATACTTTGTTGACATTTGGACCCTGCTCCTCTTAAAACTCAAGCATGGGACACTTCTATACATAACTACCATCCATTTCTTAAATTCAGGGAATTCCACACTGCCACAATACTATCGTCTCATCGACAGTCCCTACCCAATTTCTCTAACTGCCCAATAATGAATGTCCTTGTAGCAACTTTTCTCTGACGCATAATCCAATCCAAGGCCACAGGTCGCATTTGGTTGTGTTGTCTCTTTGCAGCTATTTCCGAGCACCTGTTGCCTGCCACGGAGAGGTGACCCCAGCAGCCTCCCCCACACACGCGGGATGGGCCTGGCCAGCCAGCCCCCTCTTCCCAGCCCCCAACACTCCTCGCCTCTCGGAATGGAAAGCAGGAAGGGCTCTCTCTCCCACTGTCTGCTCTCTTCTGAAACCACAGTGGGGTTTTGTGATGGGCATCCCCAAACAGAGTGTATTTTCTCCTGAGAAGAACAAAGAAGTCACCTCCTCGGGGAGGGGCGCCTTCTTTGCCTGCTTCTCCTCGCCTGTCTCTTTCCTGGGGCTGCCCTCCCTGGCCCTTCTTCCTAGAACCATAAGCTCTCACAGCTCAAACTTAACAGGCAAGAGAATCTACAATGTGAACCTCGCCTTCCAGGCATGACAACAGTGGCTCCCCCTGGGGTCCACTCCCTCCCCCGCCTAGGCCAAGGGTCTCCCTCAGGCCCTCCCCAGCTTCTCCTGGTCCCAGGTTCTAGAGGAAGGTTGGATGCCAGTCAGGGGACTCTGGCTCTTTTTGAAGCTTGAGTTGTTTTTAGGGATGGGTTTCTCCAACTGTAATGTGCATGGAAATCAGCTGCAGAGCCTTGTTAAAATGCAGATCCTGGCCAGGCTCGGTGGCTCAGCCTGTAATCCCAGCACTTTGGGAGGCTGAGGCGAGTGGATTGCCTGAGCCCGTGGGTTTGAGACCCACCTGGGCAACCTGGCAAGACCTCGTCTCTACAATAAATAAAAAAATTAGCCGGGCGTGGTAGCGCGCGCCTGTAGTTCCAGCTACTTGGAAGGCTGAGGCGGAAGGATCGCCGGAGCCCAGCAGGTCAAGGCTGCGGTGGTGGGGAGCATGCCACTGCACTCCAGTCTGGGCGACAGAGTGAGACTCCAACTCAAAAAAAAAAAATGCAGATCCTGATTCAATAGGTCTGAGGGGAAGCCTCAGATTCTGCATTTCTAGTATCAGGTATTGCTGATGGCCCTTTGCCCATACTTGGCTGAGTAAGGATCCAAAGAAAAGCCATTCTTCGTCTTTCGAAATACTCACAGGGAGTTTACAACTTCCTTAGGAAACTGACATAAACTTTAACATAACTTCCTTGAGCATAAAAGAGACTTTGCTCAGTCATAAAAATTTCCAGAGTTACCTCCAGCTTCCAGCACAGCTGAATCCAGGTCCTCAAAAAATGGCAACAGGAATCAGTTCTCTCCACTTCTCTACTCTGCTTTTCTCTGCCCTGGCTTTACCCTCAGACTGTCTGTCTTAATGATGGCTAAATAAATAAATAAACAAATAAATAAATAAATAAGGAAAATGACTTCCTGAAGCTTCAGGCTTACATCCTACCAGATCAGCAACCACACTATAAAGTGAGCTCCTTGTCCCTAATACTTCTGTCATTGTCCTGGGACTGGGTCTCACTGAACCAGCCTAGAACACATGCCCATCTCCAAATGGATCTGTGTGGTCAAGACAATAGAATGTGCCGACTGCCAGGCCTGATCACTTGGCCACCTCTTAAGCTGGGGTAGTAGGTCAGTTACACTCAATTACCGTGGACTGAGAATCAGAAGAGAGGTTCCCCCCACAGGAGAAAGGAGGGAATAACGCCAGACAGGCAGACACAGCAAAGGCCACCAGATCAAGCCGCTATCTTAGAAGGGACTTCCTTGTCTCAAGTCTCCCAGTGGCTGCAACTACTTGTGGAGCAAGTCCTTTGTGCGATGGGCCAATCAGGAAGGCAGATGGAGAGGAACTGAGCCTGTGCCGGGTGAGTTGAGCCAGTCCAGGGTAGGGCTATTGTTCGGTAGACCTCGAGGTGGAAGTCCAGAACCCACCTTCACTCAGAGCAGACAGCCATCGTAGTTTGACTGGATCCCCACTATGGACTCCTGACTTTTCTCCTGCCCTTCCTTCCTGCCCCTATGGTTTGTACTGCAACAGCAGCCAGAGTGATCTTTTAAAATGTTAGTTAACTGTCCGTCCAATGGCTTCTCCCACCACATCTAGAAAAATGTTCCATCTCCTTGCTCTGATTGTGATGCTCTCCACGACCTGACCCCTGTCTCTCTTTCTGACCTCCATGCATCCCACTCCTTGCCTCATTCACAGTACTTTGCCATATAGGTCATCTTTCTGTCTCTTGAGCCTTCCAACCTTGTCCCTGCCCCAAGGTCTTTGCACTCACTGCTCCCCGTGCTTGGAGCCTGCAGGGTCACCAAGGAGGCTTCTGATTTAGCCTACAAAGTCTGGAATGACTTGCTATGGAAGGAACCACTTTTGCTGGGAATCCAAGGATGACTGAACCACAGGAACTGTGGTCAACCTCCGGTCCCCAGCCTGCCTGAAGATAAAGGGTGAGGAAGAGTTGGTAAGAAGGTCACGGGGTAGACAAAGCAAAGTCTGGAGGCATAGAGCACAGAGACACAGTCAGAAAAGTACCTGTGGTTCCCTATTGGGGAGGCCTCAGGCCACTAGACTGTTTTCCCTAGATATCCTCATGGTTGCATCCTTCTTTTTGTTTAGGTTTCTACCCAAATGTCACCTCCTCCCTGAGGCCTTAACTGACCACCCTAACTGAAACAGCACCCTCCTCATCACTCTCTGCCCTCCTCCTCCAAACTCCGCCCCCCTGCTTCATTTTTCTTATTCTCAGCTCTCCTATACTTAGGAATTTATTGTCTGTCTCCTAACACTCTAAAGGAAGCTCTGGTGGAAAGGATACTTTTTCTAATTCACTACTCTGTGTCCTAAATGAACAGTGCCTGACACATGATGGAAACCCAAAAAATATATGAATGAATAAATGGATGAATGGATGGGTGGGTGGATGGATGAACAGGTGGATGGATGGATGGATGAGTGGGTAGGTATGTGGGTGGATGGATGAATGGATAAGTGGGGAAGAGGTGGGTGGGTGGATGGATGGGTGTGTCAGTGGGTGCACGGGTGGATGGATGAATAGATGGATAAAAAATGAACGTGTGGGTGGTGAATGGATGGGTGGGTGGATGGATGAGTGGGTGGGTGGATGGATGGATGGATAAATGAATGAATGGATGGAAGGAAGAAAGGAAGGGAGGGAGGAAGGAAAGATGGGTGAGTGGGTGGATGGATGGACAGATGAATGAATGAATGAACGGTGGGTGGGTAGAGGATAGATGGATGGGTGGGTGGGTGAA